TCAAAGCCCTCAATTAATTGATGTTGAGTTAATCAAAGAAAATCAAAAAATATTATATGTATTTTACAAAACCTTTGGAATCATGCGAATATGAAACAATTTACAAACTTTTAATAAAATGCATTTCATTCTTGTCCGAACGAATTTTAAAATCAATTAGTCTACCTATAATTGGCAATAGTAACGATAAACTTAAAATACCGAAGCTTAGAAGTATCCTAAGATTCGTTTTCAAAAGTGAAGACTTGAAACTCCAACTTCATCATAAAACATAACGCCAAATTCTGAGGAAATAAGAAATACTCTTAAAGAAAACCATTAAAACCCTGGTTCTGGACATTCTGGATTTCACAGAGCCTACAATAGAATTAAGCAAAACTTTAAATGGTCTAACATGAAGTCCGATATAAAAAAATTCATAAAGAATTGCGAATCATGCCAAAATAATAAAAACCCATGGAAATATCAAACTACGAGCACTCGTCCATTTGAAAAAGATAGTAGGACCTTTACCTCTCTTTCTGCATAGCAATAAATGCCTACTCACACTTCGAGATGGCTTATTAAAATTTTCTAGGGCTTTGGCTTACCAAATCACGAAGATGAAACAATTGCAAGAAAATTTTATTTGAATTTTTGGTACCCCTGAAACAATTGTATCTGACCAAGAAAGATATTTGGTAAAAGAAATTTCAAAATTATTTGAAATTAAACAAATTATTGTACAGACTACCAGCCGCAATCGAATGGTGCACTCGAAGGAAGTCATGCCACGCTCGCTGGCTATCTAAAACATTACATCAATGATTACCAAAATGATGGGGCGACTAGCTAGAATTTAGCATGTTTAGTTATAATAAATACCACAGTACACATTTCTACAAAATCCACTCCATTTGAACTTCTTTTTGGCCACTAGGCAAACTTACCTTTTAGTATATCACGAAAGTACTCCAATTCAAATACATATATTATGATTACTTAAACGAAACTACATTGAAACTGCAAAAGGCACACGACATAGCAAAAAGCGATCTGAAATTAGCTAAAGAAATAAACAAAAAATATTATGAACAACTCCGATTTCAAAGTTGGCGATAAGGTTTATCATTCAAAGAAACTTTCCCCAAATTATTCTGGACCGTATACAATAATTGAGCAAAATTCTCCCGTAAACTTTACGATACAAGTAAAAAATGAGACACAAAAGATGCATGCTAATCGTCTACATTACAAAATGTTAAATTCCCTGAAAATTGTAGGGACCTAATAACCTATCTAGACCTTAACCATTTTGAAGAAAAATTAAGATTACAGAACAAATTTATAAAACTACAAAAAACCTAAGCTTGAATGCTAAAATATCAATCTTAGCCTTATGTAAAACAAGGATTAGTATATGGGATCAACTACTATACTTTTACATACAAACTTTAAAAACGTTAGCCACTCCTAAAAGACAAAAACGGGCTTTACTCGCATTACCCGGAACTATTTTTAAAAGTTTATTCGCAAGTAGTAAAAACTCAAATTTTGAATTTCAATAACACTATTATAAGTTTAAATAAGAACAAGGAAATAATTAATAACAATCTAAAGAAAATTCAGTTATTCTTAGATGAATTTAAACATCAAGGGTTTAGATAGAGCTAAAACAAACATTAGAAGGACAATTGTCGGTTATTAACTTATGCTTAACAAACTTTTATATAAATATTGAAGTATTATCAATTCAGTACTTTTTTGAAAAAAAAAAACATATTGCACCCGTTTGTGATGACGGCACTTCAAAATTAATCGACGAATCAAGAAAAACCGTACCTCACATTTCCAGCACGAGCTCATAGGTTTCCTCTTGAAGATAAATTTGCCTCTAATCTTATTGGACACGTGAGCATAAAACATTTCTTCAATAATAATCCAATTTTATATGTAATGTCTAATCCTTTAATCAATACTGCTTCTTTTCAGCTTTTCCATTTAGTACCCTTTCCATTTATAATAAATTCGGACATTATGATATTTATCCTACCTTCTGTAAACCATCTACAACTCTCCGAGGATAAAAGCACTTCTTCAGTTTTAAAATCATATCAGAATTGCAATCCAGCAGATAAAACGTTAATGTGTCCAACAACTGAACCTTTTTATAATAACCACACTAGACCAGTTTGTGAAACAAAATTATTAAACGCTAGTGATACCACTCCTTCCGAATGTGATACTCGTTCAATTAACAATACTTTCGAAATTTTCCATGAAATGGAATATACAAATATATGGATATACCTACTATCTAAACAAATTGATGTTAACATTATTTGTACACACTTAGACTCTAAATATTTAATCATGAACAATACTGGCATACTAACAATTAATAAAAATTGTAAATTATATACTAGTTTCACTACATTAGTATCCAATAAAATACATTTTGAAGCAAAATACAAAGCTATCATTCCAAGTGTCGAAGTTGATGGTAGATGTCAAAAAATTAGTAATTCTGTAACTTTAAATATTTGCAAAAAGTTGCATGTTAAAGACGACAGTAACATAACACTTGAACTTGACAATATTTCTTGTTCCTCACTGCGAAATCGAGACTGCTTGTTCGAAGGATCCAGCCCGTTGACTTTTTACAAGGACTTTAGGTCATTTTGTAAGCGGGAAAAACATTTAAAGCTTGTTGTTTGAGTTGGTTCACACATGCTGTATGACCTTCTGTAGATAAATTAGTACTGAGAGTATTTGTTAATTTCAAATAGCAATTTTGAATTTTCTCTACAAGAATCTAATTCTAGCTGCCAGGGGCTGCTGGTTCTTCTTTCTGAATATGCGTCTAATAGAAATTGTTTTAATTGGTTCCAATTATCAATTGCCTTACTATAGCCCTAGCGTTATACATATGTCAGCTTGGTTTTAATAATAGTGAATAAATTTGATTTGTCTTCATTTTGAACGATAGATTACGCTTCGTCACAATTATCAATAAATTCTTAGAGTTTCAATTTGCTACCATCGAACTTAATGAGTATATCTGTTACGGCTTCTAATGATAATTAAGCCATTTCTGTATCGGAATTAGAATTAGAAGTAGAATTATCCACTATTGCTATAGATATGAATATTTTCAAAGGTTAACTTATTATTGCTATAAAAGCTCATGGATTCATGGTCCTGTCGGTTATGGGATACGCTTCAAATATGCTGATACACTTTCCCGTCGGGAAACACCTGCTGCATAACGGACACATGAATTTTGGATCTTTTGCAACCTGTATAATTCATTTTGTATCAGGCAAGGACCAAACATAGCATCAGCATATTCTACTTTGCTTAGAATCAACTAATTCGTTGACATAACTTGACAAATTCGGAAAGTACGTATCGAAAACTATACATGTTTTTCAAAGCGCTATATGAGTTTTGTACGATTTTTGTGACATGGTCATGGAATGGTAACGCTGGGTCAAAATGCACACCAAAATTTCTTATCTGCAGTTTATGATTGAGAGGCTCATACATTAAGAGATTTACTGCTAAAATAGCTTTGATTGGATTTGAAGGAAATGACGGTCAATTTTTTTGGGTTTATATTATGTAATCCATGGCTAGAGAAATATTGATTTGCAGCCTATCGATTCAGACTGCTCTTGACAGTTTGATATTGGCTTGTAAAAAATCATCAGGGTTATAAATATGAAAGGTAGATCTGAGTGTCATCTGCGTAAGAGTAAACTTTACAATAAGAAATAGACTCATTGAAATCAGATACATAAAGGTTCAATACAATTGGTCCCAGGATCGAACCCTGCGGAACACTTTGCATAATATTTCATTTCGAAGATATTTTCACTCCAAGTTTCACCATTTGTCATCTACCAGATAGATACCTAGAAAACCAGGCAAGAGATGATGAAGAAAATCCAAAAAACACAGTTTTGCCAAAAGAAATCTATGATCTATGCAGTCAAAAGCTTTAGCATCACGCCTGTTGTAACGTTACCATCGTCTATGGCTCGTAAGTAGTCGTCACTGACATCAATCAGTGCTGTCACAGTACTATGAAAAGGTTTGAAGCCTAATTGTGTGGAAGGTACAAGTTATATTTTTTATATAAATAGACATATGCCCAAATACAATTCTTTCTAATAACTCAGACAATATAGGCAGTAGACTGATAGGTCTATAATCACTAAGTTCCAGTGGATTATCAGAGGTATTACAGTTGCTAATTTCCACAATTCTGGAAAAGTGCCAGTATCTAAACAAAACTTATTGATACGCGCAATAGCATTAAGACAATATGGTATGAACATTTCCAATATCCTTAGGCTCAGTCCATTTTCATAAACTCATCAAATATGATTTGCTGATAGAATAAAGTGAAGTTAAAATCCTCATCAACATAACGATTCTTGTGATTTTCATAATAAACTAATAGTTATCCATCTATAGTGCTATTTAGAATAGAATTTATAAAGAAATTATTGACAAAGTCAGGTACAAAAACGCAGTCGTGAGACCTACTTTTACGCAAGTAACGTGAAGCCACCATTGACTAACTAACATAGTATACAGGATGTTCTATCTATGACTGGGTACACCATATCACTATAGAGAGATCCCTGGGATATGTTATAAAGACAGACGTTCCTGTCGATTAAGCCCTTCAAATAAGACACATAAAGTCTTGCAGCACACCACAAGGATTAGAGCCGAAGAGTTACTAAGAACTTTTACGGCCTTAGCACCACGCTTCGACGCTTATAGGTGACTCCATAGAATGCTCTACAAAGCCACACGAGCAGGTCAGATCATACGGTTGCTACATTTACCGTATGCTCACAAAAATATGAGATCTCGCCCATATCAGGTATCTGACCCGAATAGTAATATTATGGCCGGGATAGACGTTCCGTCATGCACATCAACTTGCTTGCGTAAACAAAATGCACGATTTATCGCGGCGTTAGTGCTGAATTGTTTGACTTGAATGAAATCAAACATGCCAGATTTTTTCTTGCGAGTACAGACTTGTCTAGCGGTAGTTGCAATGTGTGGCGGTTCTTGCGACTTATTAATTCCGTCTTCTTGGGCTAGAGATTATCCTGGTGCATAGAAAAATTAAAAGAGGTAGATCCCGCAGCCAATAAAGATGCCGTAATGAAAAAAATCAATTCATTGCGTACTTGTTTCCGCAAAGAGTTAAAGAAAACTAGAAGTGTGCAGTCGGGTATGGGCGCAGAAAACTTGTATAGGCCAAATCTCTGGTATTTTAATTTATTGATGTTTTTGACTGACCAGGAGACACCGCGACAGGATGGGACGGATACTATAAATGAAAGTCCAGTAGTAGATGTAAGTATAAATTTATTCATTTTAAATGGAAAGCAACAACGTTATAATGCTTTATTAGTGTTATTTTATTATACGAGATCTAATGAATCATAACTCTCTGACTTCATTAGCTTCTTGTGCAGTATTTCGATTGTGTCCACGTTGTAGTCCGCTTAAAATACCAGGCTCAACTGTGGAACTATTTTTTGCAGGGGAAGGAGTAGGTAATCGCAATTCTTCTTTAACAAGTTTTTCATAAAATTTAGTGTTTTCAATTACACCTCCATCCGAAACGCGACCATTTGTGCCCATATGACAATTCAATGTAAATTCGCATTAGCAATGGCCATTAAAAATAGGCTATTGTATCCCTTATAATTCCAGTAAAAAGAACCAGCATCTTGCGGTGGCGATATTCGTATGTGTTTACCGCCAATGCTACCTAAACAATTGGGAAACTGCCATTTTCCTTCAAATTCCCTACCAATTCTTCACTATTCTTCTTCGCTGCTTGGAAACTGGAAGAAACAAGAATGATGAATTAAAATACATACGTTTTGTAAATAATTTTTTTAAACATAATAAGCAAATATACTTCAACACAGTCCTAAATAGCTATTATTTAAAGTATCAAAAAGTATAAAAGTCTATTAAAAGCCTTAAATAAAGTATAGTTGCATTAACAAAAATGAAGAATTTGATATAAAGTTGATAATCTGATTTTTTCTTTTAGGACGACAGCCAATTCAACGAACATGAAGACAATTTAAACGACCATTCTTCATCCGAAACATCACTACGTCCTCTATCGGCCACCCCATCCACATCAACATCAAATTCCAGAATTAGTGTCAAGAGAAAAAGTCAAAAGAATTTGGATCGCAGCGATGAAGTTTTAAATATCGTAGCAAGTAAACTTCAAAATCAAGGAAAATATGCATCTTTCGGCCAACATGTAGGCGAAGAACTTCAGGAACTGCCTTCTGAGATGGCCATATATTGCAAAAAGGTGATTAATGAAGCAATCTTCCAAGCACAAGTGGGAAAGTTAAACCAGACATCAAAAATCGTAACCCAGATCGAAACAGATAGAACACCAACAACTCCTGATATACACACTTTTCAGTATAATCAGGAGGTTAGTCGGCCCAGTAATACTGAACTTTTAAGATCGACACCAGAAGGACCTACGAAACCCTTACAACGCTTGGGGGGATTAAATCCAATAATTCGTGGAGTAGACACTTTTCAGTATGATCATGGAAGGTTTAGATCGTCCATTGGAACTGAAATTGCAAGATCGCTAGGGGAAGCAACCAATGACCTCTTACAATCCCTTGGAGAATATTATTCAAGATCCAACGTTGAAGATAATAATTAAATTAAATATAATTAGGTATACGTTGTACTGTTTTTAATAAAATACTTTACCTTCAAATAGTGATTTTTCAATCCTGCGTTAATAGCTCTGCATGTATCCGGTATAATTTCACCAAGTGCTTGACGAGATATTGCACATGAAAATTTCAAGTCAGCATAGCTTCTTCCTGTTGCTAAAAAGCGTAGAGTTGCGCTGAGCCTCTCATGTGGTGACATTGCTTTTCTCATAACTGTATCCATCCTTTTGATTTGAGGCGTTACTATCTGGAGCAATTCAATATAAGTTTCTTCGTTCATACGTAAATAATTGAACCAATCCTCAGGTTCTAATCGAAGCTCATTTAGTAAATTTAGGTGTGATAATTCCTGTCGCTTAAGTTACCATTCTTTCGACCACTTGGAACGTTTTCTCTTATTCACCTTTTTCTTTTTTGCTATAATAACAATATCAGCCGCACACAATAATAGCTCGTCAGCCATGTTGATTAACTGGACGTTTAAATTGATCAACAAAACGAACAAGACTGAATAGTTAGTGGTCAAATGAGGAATTCAGTCTTGCCGTACAATTTAAGTTTGCGCAAGCAAGTTGATGTGCATGACGGAACGTCTATCCCGGCCATTACTCTGTTCTGGCTAATATCAACAGCCCAGTGAAAAAACCGATCTAGGCGGAGCAGCCGCTATGTACTTCCTGTGAATTTTGAAAAATGTAGTAAATTTGAAGTAAGATTTTCTACAAACCGAAAAATACGCGAATAATTCAAGTTGTAGGAAATACCACTAATAAATAGAGGCGAATTTTGCAATCACCTTTTCAGCGTTAGGGTGTGGTACTCCCTCTATTGGGCATCTCTAGCTACTTGACTTAACAAAAACAGAGCAGTTGCGCCTTCGATGGATCCACAAATATTCTAACCACAGTTATTGCCAATATTAATTACCTCATCATAGGCGGAGGTGTCGGTAATAATTTATCGAAAATAAAACAGACAAATTAGACTAACAGTAGCACAAATTCTACATATAGTCAATGATGTGCATCTAATTACTTCAGTTTTGATTAACCATAACTTTTTGCGAACATTCTCCACACACATACAATTATAACCAGCATTCATACGGTTAATTGCATACCTCGATTGTTGTCAGTTTCTGAGAATACAATGACGTCGCTCTGCGATCCAGATATGATTTTGTAGGTTTGCAATTACATTCAATTAACGGAACGTTGTTGTAAATAGTGGCGTTTCAAAAATATGACTCACTGATTGCTTAACCTTGTCGATTAGTAGGTAGTACTTGTTACTAAGAATAAAAAATGCTGTAATCTCTGACGGTAATCCGACTTAAACTTTGTATTCAATCAATAAAATCCTAGTCCAGGTGAAGTTGATCCGAAGTCATCTTTTTCTTCTCACAGGTATTGTAATCGGAAAAATTGAAAATAGTATTGTGGTTTTTGGATGTTATACTACATGTACATCATGAAAAATCTTGTCACTGATTTTTGTCGCTGTGTCGGTCTTTCGGTCTGTCGGTGATCTCAGAATTCATGTTCCAGTAGATAGGGAGGGGGGGGGAGGGGGAAGGCGAGCGGGTCGGGTGCGCGCGCGCTATTTAAGGAGCATGTTGGCTATTTCACTTATGATAGCAAAGTCCTCATACATTTACCCTTAAAACTAAATATCTCCAACAGTCGCGTGTTAATGCGTGGGACATGGTTCCCGATGGACGAGCATTATACGTCACACTCGGCATTCGCTTCCGTACCGCTGTGGGCTGTATACACTGTGCCTGACGAAGGCTAATATCCTTAACTATGTGGGACTGGTCATCGCAATGGTCATGTGTGCCTGCAGGAATTCGTCTCGGGGAAAGGAGGACGGTTATTTAATTTTGTGTTATACATCATGTAGCTAACCTTTTTTCAGTAGGGCCAGCTTGTGACAAACATAATCCTTTACGAACTGATGTCATAGTGTCAACTTACTTGACGCCATTTTCTGTTTTGCATTGAATTTATGGTCGTACTGCACCCATCCTATTTAATAATATTATTACTAAGGGAATATTTAGGCCCGTATCGTCAGTCGTCCCTACTTTATGGCCTCCTTGATTGTCATAGTTTTCTACTTCTCCGTGTCAGAACTCTATTTTGAGGTTATGTCACAAACATCTATTTGCATCAAATTGTGCTTGCTTTTGAGTTATATCATGTGTTATCAGCCTGAAATTTCCTAAAATTTAAGAAGAAAACATATCTTCACAATAGGAGAGCGCTGACGCTGACACGGGACAAGTGTAATCTCGAAATTTTTGAAGGAGAGAAAGAACTATGACAATCAAGGAGGCCATAAACGCGCCCTACAATTGTAGGGATGACTGACGATACCGGCCTTAGTGTAATGTGAACCATTCACTAGTCTATTATATCGGTTATTCCCGGTATTATCAGATCAACGTACAAAATGAGTACCATCATATCAGCTTTTTATGAACAATTGCTGAAACCGCATTCTTATCTGACTCCTGATTGCACTGGCTTGCCTCTAGCTTATACAGTGACTATTTTGATACACACCACGCCACAATCACACGGTATTCCAAAGTGCCCTTGACTTTTCGAGTCACAACACGGTTTGTCAAACTTCCCATCATTGGATATCACTCACTTTAACATATATTCAAAATTCTCGTGTGATGGCTTCAAAATGCAAAAGTAAAAGTTGCAATCCAGGGGGGCCAGGAGGTGGCAAAGCGGGAGTGGCTGATGGAGTTTCACCAGTAGTGGTTGCAGGATGCCAAGAACTAGTGCTCAATGACGGTCATATCAAACAGTATATGGACGCATTTTTAGAGAATGTTAAGCGAGGATTAGGAAAAGCGACCAACCCTTCAGCTATTGTGAAATGCTTTCCAACGTTCGTACAGGATCTTCCCAATGGAACGGAGACAGGCAAATTCCTGGCCTTGGACTTGGGAGGCAGCAACTTCAGGTAAGTTCTACTGCAAACGTCAAAGTTTCCACTAAGGCTTCGGGATACATCCGCCTTTACTGATCAATACGCCAACTTGCAATGGCTTTCGCTAATTTGGGTGCATGTTTGCTAAGGCTTTCCATCATAAGTGTCCAAGTCCCCCTAGTATGACCATTCTGGCAAAAATTCTCCAACAGACTCGTAAAAAGATTTGTATTTTTTTTCATCGACGCAGAAAATATTTTTAAGTATGGGTGTTACAGTTTCTAGGCCCATGGAAGATCTGGGTATACATTTTTATGATGTGCTACGTTTACATGTAGAATTTGAAGTCAATATCTTTTTCTGCTCCGAATATATAAATTTTTCGATATCATAATTATAATTCACGGCTTTATCTGATTTCTAAGGTGGAATGGAAACGTCTATGATTCATACTTATATGAACTTTCAAAGTTCTTTCTGTCCAGAAATATAACCACTGTGTTCGAATTAACCAGAAAAGGCATCTTGCGTTCCTTCGTAAACATTTGTTGGGCTATATGAGGAAGATAGGTCCAGTACTAACAAGATTGAAGTCTCCTAGATGGAAATTATGCAAACCTAAGCTTTCTGCGTAGTACCCACATATGCAACTATGTCCATGATTGCACCATGCATAACAAAGTACTTATATAACCACAAATAACCTTTAATTCATATTGTTCTGAGCGTTAACACTGGCCTGTGCCCTTTCACATCGTGTGCGCTATACAGGGTCTCCCATTCTAACCGACCCACCCAAACATTTTAAAAACTGCGTATTCTATAAAACAAGTATCAGGCAGGGAGGGGTTGTATGGTTTCAGTGGCACAAAATAATGGTAACCCTGATAATGACCTTGACCACGATCCTCAGCGACATTTTAAGTTCAACTGAATATTTTCAAATGGAGCCTCGCCCTTTTCACATCGGAATTGGAAAGAAGAGAAAATTTCACGTCCGAATGGTACCTTTATCATGACCTGGACAATGGCCTTCAAGGACATTTCAAGTTCAAGTCAAGACATCAACAACAATTTTCTCTAGCAAAGCATTCGACATTACAGTTGCGAAGGTTGTGGGACTCACTCAAACGTAACCTTGAGCATGACATTGACTTTTTTCATAACCTTGACTTTGACCATAACCATGACCTTCAAAGTTTTTTTGAAAACGTCTCACTTTTCAACCGGAAATGGAATTAGCAGGACATTTCATTGATTGCTAAGATTGAAGTGACCTTGACCTTCAGATCAAGGTTATATTCTGACCGGAAAATTCTTGATTTTTCCATTTAGGTTGTAAAAATGTAAGAGCATGGTAGTACTCACATTCGGACGTAAAATTTGCGGCTCTCCACAATTGTAATACGAAAATTGAGTTTAATTTAAAAATATTCACTTGACCTTGGAACGTCCTTCAATGTCGTGACCAGTGTCATTGTCAAGGTCACCACGGTTAACTTCCTCAAAATACAACAAGTTTTGTTCCAGACTTTTTTCTATAATGCGCAGTTTTCATAATATTTGGGTATGGAGATTAAAAATCGACATCCAGTATAAGCGCTTGGCTATTCACTGTAAACAACAAGAACTAAAAAGTATGAGAATGGTACGCTTGCGCATTCGTTCACCGCCCCGGGGATCAATTCTTGGAAGCGAAGGAATCGAATAACTGATAAAAAGTGAGCGTCGCTCTACTACTTTTCGATGAACTATACAGGGTTACAGGAAAAGTCGTGCTAGATCCGTTAAGGGCGTGTAGTACCCATCATTTCTGACTTATTTCATTATGAAACACCCTACCCTAAACTTAACCCTTCTCGAGATATTCAACCTTTAATGTTTTTATTGAAAATTGCCGATTTTTAGGCTACTAAATGTATTTATTTTTATTTTGTGTGTGTTATTATTACTATTATTGCATTTTAACATGTGTAATAAGATGCTTTAGGACGTCAATCATTAAAATAGTCCATAAGTTAATTGAATAGGCCGTAGTAGATAAGTGAATGTTAAGAAATTGAAAAAAATATCAGAAAGTTTATTTTTCTCGAAGGGATATCTAAAAAAAATATTATGGCAATTGTTCGGCAGATGTGTTTTAAAATATCTATGTTTTATCAGCTATCTAACGAGGTATAACAATCTAGGATTTGTATTACATTTCGTAGAAAAAAAGTAGTTGGGACGCTCCAGTAGCAGTTCCCACGCCTATTCTCCTTCAAGTTTAGACGCACCGTGCGAGCGAGACATGACGATTTAATGTGGGTGCGAATGAAAGAAAACATATTATAATAACCGGTTAGGGCTGGAAATCCAACACGGGATGTTGTTTTGGTTGTCAGTCTGCTTTTGTGCTTCGTACATAGTAGATGTGATATCGTTTTGCTCTTTTCCTCGACTTGGCTACGATTCTGGACTATTTCTTCTGATTTGTAAATACTGTGCTTGTTCACTGGACTCTGATTTGTACTTGTGATACGGAAGTGTTGAAGATGACGTCCTACACACCTGAGGAATATGCTGATATGCTTATTTGTTACGGATACTGCGATTGTGTATCTGCGCAAGCTCGCAACGAATACAGAACTCGCTTCCCCGGTCGTCGAGTGCCGGATGTGGCCGTTTTTAACAGAGTTTATCTAAGACTTCGAGAAACTGGCTCTGTTTTGAGACGAAATACAGACCTGGGAAGACCACGAATTTATGACAACGAAGAACTGCAGGACAATGAGATAGTGCAACGCTTTCGAGCGGATCCGACCATTTCCACTAATCGTGTTGCCCGTGATCTGGGACTTTCGCAATGGAGAGTGTGGTTTACAGTGCATACTGCTGGCCTATACCCGTACCATTACACGCCGGTACACACTATTGAAGAAGGAGACCCCGCGAGAAGGTTGGACTTCAGCAGATTTATGCTAAATGCTGACGTAGAAGACCCAGATTTTCTAAGAAATATCTTATGGACAGATGAATCCAAATTTGATAACGATGGCATAACTAACTATCACAACGCCCATTACTGCGCCCCAAAAGTACTAAGGAATCCCAATAAGAAAAGAGTGGCGAGGTCCCAACGAAGATTCAGCGTGAATGTGTGGATGGGCATTATCTCCAACCATTTGATTGGACCTTACTTTCTCCCGGACAATCTAAATGGGGAAAATTACGAAAACTTCTTGAGAGGAGACTTCAGAGATTTGCTGGATGATCTGCCACTCAACTTGAGAAGGGACATGTGGTTCGAACATGATGGCTGCCTTGCCCATTTCAGGAGAAGTGTCAGAGACTGGCTGGACACAAATTATCCAAACAAATGGATAGGACGAGGTGGGCCGTTGCCATGGCCAGCAAGAAGTCCAGACCTAACCCCCATGGATTTTCATGTGTGGGGGTGCATGAAAAGTCTTGTCTACAGCGAGCCAAATCCAGTTTCGTCTGTGGAAGAATTAAGAGAAAGGATTGTCGATGCAGCAAATCAACTAAGGACAACGTTGACCACTGCAGTTGTAAAGACTGGTCTCCGTAGAAGGATGCGACAATGTATTAGAAACAGAGGCAGCCATGTTGAACATGAACTGTAGAGTAAGAAAAAGTTGTGTGAAAACCTGATTTAATAAATGATATTTCATGCTTACCTATTGTTTTATTTTACTTTTTAGGGCTAAGTATCAATTTTCTTCTCCACTGTCGCCTATGAAACTAAGTTTTTTCAATGCATTTAAATAAAATCCTAGATTGTTATACCTCGTTAGATAGCTGATAAAACATAGATATTTTAAAACACATCTGCCGAACAATTGCCATAATATTTTTTTTAGATATCCCTTAGAGAAAAATAAACTTTCTGATATTTTTTTCAATTTCTTAACATTCACTTATCTACTACAGCCTATTCAATTAACTTATGGACTATTTTAATGATTGACGTCCTAAAGCATCTTATTACACATGTTAAAATGCAATAATAGTAATAATAACACACACAAAATAAAAATAAATACATTTAGTAGCCTAAAAATCGGCAATTTTCAATAAAAACATTAAAAGTTGAATATCTCGAAAAGGGTTAAGTTTAGGGTAGGGTGTTTCATAATGAAATAAGTCAGAAATGATGGGTACTACACGCCCTTAACGGATCTAGCACGACTTTTCCTGTAACCCTGTATATTCTTTATCATCGTTAGAAAAGTCACTTCTCGGGTCAATGTCAAGAGGAACATTGCAGACATCCTGTCTAGCCAGCGTTTATCACTTTCATCTCTAAAGATAAACGTAGCTTCATAAAGACATATGAAAAACATAGGAAAATACCAGGATTGTCAATAGTTTTTGTGTTTATCACACGCATATTCAATGGGCAGAAGGTCTAGGTCACCAAGGAAGGAAGCTGACTTGAACGGTATAAAAGTAGTATATTCTTAGCTCCAGCAATATGGGGACGTGTATTTTGTTAGAAAATATAGTTTTGAAGCACTGCTACGTCACACCTCCTCTAGTGGAAACAAGAACCACATTTAATGAGTCCTTAACTATCCCTATCACAGCACGGTTACCCCTCGCTCCGTGACCTTGTAGTGGTGCGCGTACATAATACATTTCTAAACAGAACCAAGATCATCATTAGAAACAGTGTTTCAGCACCCATCGTCCCAATTTTCTCTGTCTCTGTTCTATTTTCGGAATGCATGATGGACAGGCACGAGTCCGAGAAAAGCATGATGTAAAGCTTTCAGCTAAACGTCACCATACTGTAGGAGTCATGGTTTTAGGTATCACTACGTATGGTGCTGTCACCTTTGGTTTCTATTAGATGATTTAAGACGGCGCAGCGGTATACGCAGGGAACATACCTTTAGCTATTTTTCTAAATACTTGAGAAACCTCTTTTCCAACAAGATGATTACCACCTCCATATTGCTAGAACCATAGTAGACTACCTCAATAAGGATCAATTCAACCTCCTTCCTTGGCCTGATCTGTAGACCATACGCCAATTCGTGGTATGTGATGGTAAAAAGAGCGAGCGACCGTTACCTCATCGTCCACCAACTTTAACAGCTCTTTGGAACAAAATCCAGCTAGCTTGACATAAGACGTGTTCAAGAAGACGTAATCTGCCTTAACACATCAGCACATCCTGAAGACTGGACGAATGCATTCGGCATCGACAGGGTTATTACGTAAGGAAACCTATGAAACGTCAAGCTGCAAGTCAGTTAACCATCATGGTTTGTTGGTTGCACAATGCCGAAAGAGTCTATAGAGTATCTATACTTTGAGAAGATGTATGGTTGAGTAGCAGAGTAGCAAGATCACATCTGGATGATTATATGTATTGGTCTGCATGTGTATAAAATCAGTGATATTTGCTATATGAGAAAATTATTATTTAATATGCTGCCCACGAAATATATCTGTTAGCTGTGCCTGACGGGTTATTTGTGTTGTCCTTTCTGAAGATACACTACGATTTCACGCAGTTTTTTTGACATTGAAACTGCAATAGAGCTGTTAAAAAAAATTGTTTCAATCGAATCATTTAAATATTTTGGCATATACGTAGACAGTAAATTAAAATTTAAGGGGCACCATGACTATATTATTTTAAAAATATTCAAGAAAATAAATTACTTTTATCGAATTTCGCATAGCCTAAGCGTTTATTCTAAAAAAATTGTGTACAACACTATCATTCTTCCTCATTTGTTATATTGTTCGACTATTCTGTTTACTGCAAATTTTCAAAATTACAAATATTACAAAATAAAGCTATGAGAATCATCTTAAATAAAAATAAATATACTAGAATAAATTTTATGCTGAAAGAACTACAATGGTTAAATATCAAACATTTCATAGCCTACTTGGTTTTCATTTTCATATTCAAGTTAAAAATCATCTTCTACCAAATCACCTTTATTGTATTGAACAATGAGTGCCACAATTATTCTACTAGAGGAAGTATAGACTTTCATTTACAAAATTGCAGTAGCAATATAACGACCAAGTCAGTATTTCAAAAGGGATTCTACGAATTTAATAAATTAAGTATATGATATCAAGATGTGTGTCAGTTTGAAAATATCTCATGGAAACCAGAATTCATAGTAGTGAAATTTTGTATAAAAAAATGTAGTCTTGAAGACATTATATATTTTGTGATATACTGTGTAATATCGCAAAATATATTGTAGCATTAATGCTAAATAAATCTGAAACATTACGTAAAATCTATACCGCACCCGAGTTAAGTGTCTAGGCGCTAGTTTGTATTTTCTACTTGACATTATAAAACACATTTCTATAAAATTTAAATGACTGGAAGTAGTTAATGTGAAATGTAATACCTTTTTCAAGTTTCATAAATATTCCTATGTACTATGTACTATATTTTCTCACCGGTTAGCTGTAATATATGGTACGTCATCAACCAGGGAGTTTCTTCCTTTATCACTGTTTTCTTTTGAAATTCAGCAAATGTGCATAAATGTAATTTCCAGGTTGAATGAGTAAAATTGGATGCGCAATTAATTATTAGCTTTGCAAACATCTCAAGTAAGTGTATTTGAGACAAGAAACCAATGGAATTATCATCAATACAGATCATTAGCACACAAATCATCACTATGCACATATGCAACGGCCGTTTCCTTTCAGCTATAGTATAGAACTAACAGCTTAGACCTCCTATAATACCATCTCTGTTACATTACATCAGAGCTGAGCATTGATAGCTAAAGCATCATGACGTTTAGGTAACACGTACAGCTGCACAACAAGTGTGCAACAGCGAGTGCTAAGCTGACAAGTTGTAGAAAAACCTACATAATGTTGCAAAAAACCTATGTAATATAAAAAAAACAACACAATACCCCTGCCGGGTGGCCAAACACCATTGCTAACGAATCCTAGCCATACCGTAAATGTTTCCAATTCAAGAGCTGATCACTAAAGTCTAAATTAGGCAGTGGGTATCAAATAAAAAAGTCTGAAAAGTACAACCCTCGATTGCTTGTCAAGAATGTTACACTGGATGACGATCTGGGCGACGATGCAAGTATACTCCGTAAGGTTGTGATGCTGAATAACCTAGATGAGGAGAATTTGTCAACTATGAAGATAGTCACAAGGCTGAAAACGAGAAAGAGTAATCAAGTGCATCTGGTAATCGAAGTTCCACCAACGGTAAGAAAGAATATCATTGATAAGGGGTTTGTCTACCTGGGATGGATGAAGCATTATGTATCTGACCATATCAATGTCTTACAGTGCCTTAATTGTTGTGCGTATGGTCATGGTTCGAAAAACTGCAGAGTGCAGACCGTATCTTGCATTAAATGTGCAGAAAGCCATGGTATTAGAGACTGCCAAGCTAGCACGCAAAAATGTAAAAACTGTGTTAACCATAATATCAAGTTTCATACAAAATTTGATGTACCCCATAAGGCAGGCGATAAGTCATGTCCAGTATATATTTCTCATTATCATAATCTTAGGGATAGGGTTAATTATGAAGATTAAAGAGTTAAGAATTGGACATTTAAACATACGGTCTCTTTTATCAGATTTTGATGCTTTCACAACTATACTGAAAACTGAGAATTTTGATTTCTTAGCAGTAAGTGAGACATGGCTCTCTAGCGACATCCCTGATAACATTGTACGTGTCGATGGATACAATTTTTTCCGTTGCGATCGAGCCTCACGAGGCGGTGGTGTTGGCATTTATATTAAATCGCATTTGAATGCAAAAGTTATTAATGTTGATATTCGTGTTGTATGTTTAGAGACTCTTTTTGTGCAAGTGAATGTAGATAAACATAAATTCGCGGTTGGCGTTTTGTATCGTCCGCCGTCGCAAAGTCTTTTGGACTGTGCTAATGTCTTAGATAATTTGCTACCCGTCATCGTTAATGATTTTGACAATGTTATTGTTTTGGGTGATTTGAATCACGATTTTCTGAATTCAACTAATATCATAATCTCGAGTTTTGAGGTAACTGGCTTTTCACAGTTAGTTACATCTCCTACACGGGTGACAAACGACACCGCTTCATTGCTTGATCCATTTTTCACTAATCAGCCGGAACTTGTCACTGGCTGTTTGGTACTTGATGCTCATAAAATATCTGACCATAAGCTTGTTATGTGTACTCTGAAACTTAGTGCTGGCAAGATGCATCAAAAATTCATATGCGTGAGAGACTTCCGTGAGTTTGATGAGGCAGCTTTCATTTCAGATCTGTGTACCTCTAATCTTGATGACTTATATTTTATGAATAACATAGATGCTAAAGTGGAACATCTGACGACAACCCTCACAAATATTTATAACAAACATGCTCCGATTAAGACACTACGTGTTAATAAACCGCCATCTCCTTGGTTGGATGAGGGAATGAAAAAGCTTATCAAAGAAAAAGATTCAGCTTTTACCAAATATAAAGCTAGTAAATCACTTGAAGACCTTGATAAATTCAAACAGCTGAGGAATAAGGCACTACATAAAATTCGAATGAAAAAGAAAGAGTATATTCAGAATCTAACTGATCAAAATAATCTAAAAACTTCATGGTCTGGGCTGAATAGGCTTAACATAAAATCTCGTTCAAAACAAACAATACCAGATGAGCTAGCCGATGCAAATAGAACAATTATTTTATGTCAGTTTATAGTTACGACAGTGTCTCAGAAAATGTATGTCGGTTTTATGACAGCAACAAATTGGACAATCGAAATCGTTTTTCTTTGCGAGTTGTCGAGCCGGTGGAAATATTGAAGGCAATCAAAGATATCAAATCAGATGCAAAAGGAATTGACACCCTCTCACTAACCATGGTCAAAGTAAGTCTTCCCGTAACTTTTTTCCATATCACCCACATAATAAATTCATGTTTGGAAAGTGGCTACCACCCTAAGCTGTGGAAGCTGGCTCTAATTATACCTGTCCCTAAAATATCTAAACCTACTGAACTTAAGCATCTTAGACCCATTATTTTGTTGCCGGTGCTATCGAAAAAAAATAATATCGTCATGTCAATCGGGCTTCAGGAAGCACCATAGTACCACCTCGGCACTGTTAGATCTTTGTGAAAATGTTATTAGGGCAGTTGACAAAAAGTTAGCAACAGCAGTGGTATCAATTGACTATTCCAAAGCATTCGATCGAATAAATCATAAACTTTTGTGCGCCAAGCTGAGGTATATAGGCTTCGATGATGCTGCTGTCAGTTTTTTCCGTAGCTATTTGTCCGGTCGCACGCAATGTGTCGCAATCAATAACGGTCAATCCAATATTACGACTATTCCGTCAGGAGTTCCGCAAGGCTCACTTTTGGGACCTGTGCTCTTTTTGATTTACACGTGTGACCTGCATAAAGCAGTTGACAATTCAGGGATACAAACATTTGCTGACGATACTCAAATAATATTCCATTTCGACGCCTCAGATACGCAAAGTTCATCAGACATTTTACAGCTTGATTTAGATAAGGTACATCAGTTTTCTATGGAACATAATCTTACTATTAATCCAGATAAGACACAAGTGTTATTGTTTTGTTTTGATCAGAAGAGGAAAACTGTCGAAGATTCTTTCCATCTGACTATTGGTGGCATAACATTACAGCATACTCAAACAGCTAAGGTACTAGGAGTGGAAATTGACACAAAATTAAGATTCCGCAGCCAAATAGCTAATTTGATGAAAAAAACTTACCTGTGTTCTAGGGCTCTTTATTCCAATCGCTACTTGCTTAACTTTAAGCTGAGAAAAAAACTGTGCGAATCTTTGGTGATGTCAATGCTCAGTTACTGTGATGTCGTTTATTATCCATGTTTGGATCAATCGACCAAAAATCGTCTTCAAATCATCCAAAATAACTGTGTTCGCTTTATTTATGGGTTGCGTAAATACGATCACGTAAGTGATAAATATAGGGAATTGAACTGGCTTAGGTTAGGAAGTTTGGTTAAACATAAATTCTTAGTTTTAGTTCATAAAATAATATTGTCATCAAAGCCTGAATATCTAAGAGCTAAGTTAAGATTTAATTACGAAGTGCATGACAGGGCTGTTAGGAATCGTTATAGTATCAGAGCCACCCCACACACTTCTGCATTATTCCAACGAGGATTTACATACTCGTATAATGCAGCACTATTTTTATAATCAGTTGGACAACAGTATTAAATTGATGCCTTTGGAAAGTTTTCGTAAACATACTAAAAGCATGTTGCTCGCTATTGATTAAATACGCATTTCTGCTACAGATATAGATTGTGTCTATTTGTATTTTATACTTAGGTATATATGTGTTCTTTTTTTCATTGTTCTTATATATATATATATTTTTTTCCATGTTTTGAACATCAGATGTAACCGACATAAACAGTTAAGTGTAAGAGTAGCCTTGGCTAAACTTCGCTGTTTATGTCCCTCCGGGTTATCCAATAAAGACGTTATTATTATTATTATTATTATTATTATTATTACTACTTCTTCTTGCTTAAGTCTAACTAACCAAAATTTTATCCAGATAAAATAATTTTCATTCTGGGTTCTATTCCATTTATCAACCAGTTTTATTGATGTTGAATCACTTATCACATACCAGATACATTCAGATGTGTTAATTTGAATTTGAAATCCTCTTGATTTCTAGAGTACTGCTTGTGGAGCTTGCCGGCGGTGAGAGCCATATGGACTCGAAGATCTACGTTATCCCTCCTTCAATTATGACAGGGCCTGGTGAAGATCTGTTCGATTTCATTGCTGAATGTTTGTCAGATTTCGCCGTCACGAAAGGAGTTAACGATCAATTGCTGCCCCTGGGATTCACGTTCAGTTTTCCTTTGCAGCAGGTTGGATTGACGAAGGGTATATTGGAAAGGTTAGTACATTCAAACATGGTGCGCTGTTTAAATTGGAGCTCTATAGTAGACGGGTATAATACTCGTCCGTCATGTTGTTTCCAACCAATGGAAACGGCAAGATAGCTGTCAAACCGGTCAAACTGAGCCAAGCAGAGTCAAGAGTGAATGATCTGTCAGGCAATGATATTCATGATATTATTGATTTTTTGGTTGATCCTTTTTATCGACTAGTTTCTTTTCCATCGTGTTACACGGATAGTTTGTCTTGTCTTCTACCCCCAACAACTGGAAACAACATGGCGGCCGAGTATGGTACGTTAGCACTTCATAGATGACACTCTAAGGACTTCTTTGATGTCATACGAAATTTCTACAGCGTTCTGGGTTAGGTTCTGAACATCCTCTTATAGGCAATTACCACCATCGGAATGGAATGAAATTAAGAAGTAATTATCAAACGGTACAACCAAAAAAATTAGGGGGCAGTTGCGACAATGGCGAGCGAAAAGGTTGGATTGACTGAACCCTCTGATGACTCTTAAAAATGGAGGTCTTCTTGGCCTCTGTATGCTCCTTGCTCTAGCCACCTCTTCTCTCACTTGTAGGCTATAATTCAGACAAATCGGCACTTCAAGCGGGTATCCACAGTTGGCACAATATTGCCGGTGGCAGTTTTACAAATGTTGCGGGTTGCGGGTTCGGCAAACCTCTTACTTTCTAGGTTGGAGGGATAATACTATCGCGCCACCAGAGGGTGCTCTGACCATAACAATTACTGCGGGGTACACACCGGGATTCAGCAGAAGCCTTCAGTATGGTCTGAACATTTACTGACGCAAAAATTGTTGGATTTATAAGAAATCTCCCTATTTCTTGGCCCTTTGGGGGTAAAGCAGCTGTTTGTTGTGATTCGGTGCAAATAAGGTTTAGATACCATTTCCATAGGCGCTTTAGGTCAGGTTACTAAAAGCAAAATACACCAGTTTATATATGCAAAGAAGCAAACAGCCGATAGACGATTTGTGGGAGTAACAGACGAAGTATCAACTTTCTACTACATTCCCTCGTTAGATGGACCAAAGGCTTCAACTGTGCCGGTGTCATTGGCAAAGATGTCGTCAAACTCCTTGAAGATGCTCTAGCAAGGCGCGGGGATGTCAAGATTGATGTTTGTGCAGTACTCAATGACACAACTGGAACCTTGATGTCGTGTGCCTGGAAAAACAGGGACTGTAAGATCGGCCTGATTCTCGGCACTGGTACTAACGGGTGTTATTTAGGTAAGCACTCATTTCAACCTCAAGTCACTGTCTTGGTAAATAAGCTACCTATTTTTGACATCAAATGTAAGAAATTGGGATCGACTTTGTTCAGGCTCAATCCCTGCCAGACAACTTTTCTCAGACTTCATCTTTAATCGTTTGTAGCACATCGATATCAGAATAAAATATTAGTTGATGACTAAGACTAAGTATACGACCAATATTTATTGTAGTACATAACATCAATGTTCACTGATCATTCTGTCAGTTGCCGTGGATTTCCACGTCACTTTATACGAGGAGTTCTAGAAAAGAAATCTACCTAGCCATGAAACAAAACACATACGGTTTTATTTTTCAATAAAATCCTCCCTACATCAATGCACTTGGGCCATTTCCTGTTCCAATGGGCTTATAGCCTGTTTCTCCTCCCGATTCACAAAAAAAAGTCGTAGGCAGCTACTTTTTGGCCATCGTCTGAGTCAAAACGGCGGCGGCGTCCTTGAAGATTTTTCATTATTTATCTAAACAGATACAAGTCAGACGGGGCTATAGGGAGGAGAGAGGATGGTATATCCCGACGAAGCTACATTCCTGTAGAAGCACTTCTCGATTAAAAAAATTAGGTCTTTGTTGGTTGCTTTACGGTAATGTTTCAGCGTGCTGACAAGCCCTGTAAAGACTCTTTGTAAAGCCCACTGCTTGGGTTTTGTTTTTGTCTGCATCCAAGTCTCGGCGCCCGTCACAAATTGCGCTGAATCGTTGGTCAAAGTTTTTAAATGAAAATTTCTAAATTGCGCTATTTTTGTTCAAATTATCAGGCAAGATGGTCATTACGCTAGGTTATGATATATTCAATGCTATAGCTAGAAGTTTTCAAATGATCGTCTTCGAGAAACATGGAACCAACTTTTTGAGTCATTTCACCCTTTGCTGCTGATTTGAGATCTTCTCTGGATTCACGTCCCCATCGAAAGTATTTCGAACAGTTTTATTATTTAATATGATGGTGTATCATCCCGATAGCCGGCAACTATTCTCTCAAGAATTGTTTTCGCTTGATGCCCCTCTTTTGTCAGAAATTCTATGACACTATTCTAATTTTGAGCTACCTATGTTTTCTCACATGTCACTTCATAAATTGGAAACTAATTATCAAAATTAACTCAAATTTTGCAAGTAAGGTTAGAACACGTCACTGTTTGACATATTATGCTTGTGCGCTTCAATTGTTTTTTTTTTCATTGATAGGTAGACTTCTTTTCTAGTGTCCCTAGTACATCAGTCATAAGTGACATCCTGGATACATGATCAATAAAGATCAGATAAGAGAAGGGTAGTTGAAGATCAAACATTTATAATCGAGGCACACAATTTGGTTAGTGTTGTTGGTCCTATACTGTCCGTGGTATAGTAAACATGTTGACTGTTTACAATTCCTTATTGTACATTCTTCAAATTTGAATTTTCTCACTTGATTCTCAGAGTCACAGGCAAACGCAGAATTATTCGATGAGCCTGACCAAGGATCCGGAAAAGTAATCATCAACTTGGAAAGTGGTGCATTTGGGGATGACGGAGCCCTAGACTTCTGCAGAGTAGAGTACGACGAAATAATCGATAAGCGGTCTATCAATCCAGGGAGGCAGAAGCACGAAAAGATGATATCAGGAATGTACCTTGGTGACATTGTTAGGTTGGCTGCTCTAAGGTAGGTATAGTATTCTAGCAGATTGTGCAGAAACATGTCGAATAGTTTTATTGCAAAAAACGTGGTGTTCGGAGCTCTGAAGATTTGTCATCCTTAGGTTTTATTTTGCTGCCAAAAAATGATTGGAATACTACTTGTGTATCACCTGTTACTATTTTATTCTTTCCATTTATTTTAGTACCGTACTAGGTTGGGCAGAAGTAATGACGAGATTTGGCTGTGCTTGACCTGGAAATGAAAAAATGGTGTAAAGTAGGTTAACTCTGTCCTTTCTACGCAACGCCGCCATCAGTACATAAATACATAAAGGTTTATGTTCAGCACAAGTATAACAAAAAAAAATGGGTCAAGTCGGCCAAACAGGTCCATATACAATTAGTCTCTAATCTAGTCCCCAGCCATTTGATATCGCTCACGCTAGTTTCTTCCCTGCACATCTGGCACGAAACTATTATATATCGAGATCGAGGCCCCAGCGATTTTTCTGCCGGTGTTGTAGTTAGACGTCGGGTGAACTTTGATCTGTAAGAAGCGCACCTATGAGTGTGCGTAAAATTACGGAGGTCGAAAGCGTGCCACCCCCACCCCCTTCAACCTCTACAAAAATTCTTCCGAAAATAATCAGAAGGTTCTGAAACGCCAAAAAGACAAAGCTTGAGCGGTTTTTATACCCTTGTGTCTTTGCCCCTAGCTTCTCCGCCACCAAAATATACAAATTTTTTTCGTCCTTTGCATAGTAATAACTTTTTGTGAAAATTTTATCGAAATCCTTCCCAATTTTTAGGCGGATCAAGGCAGACCGCAGAAGACTACAGACCTTAGGGATACATAATTATGACAGACATTTGGTTAAATTCGCGGGCTATCCAACTCGCAAAGTTCTGTTTACAAACAATATTCATCTGTAGGTTCACGAAGGAAGGTGTGATGTTTGGGGGAAAATCTTCCCCCTTGTTGGAAACAGAAGACAAATTCGAGACCAGATATGTGTCGGAGATAGAGAGTGACCTGCCTGGTGTCTACACGAATGCTAAAAGAATCTGCGACGAGTTAGGTCTCAGCCATGCCATAGAACAAGATTACCAGAACCTGAAGTACATCTGTGAGTGTGTTTCCAAGAGGGCTGCAGATTTGTGCTCCGCCATGTTGGCTGTTCTCATGAACAAGATGGGAGAAAAGAAGGTAAGCTTACTACTAGTATAAGTTGAAAAATCGTTGGAGTGCATTTTTTTGACCATACTGAACAATAATTCGCCAAGGCCGCACCACATACAGGGTGGTTTACAAGTCGTTTCAAAAAATGGAACATAATACGCATTTCAGTGTAACATTCCTTTCTCCATTTTTTTTAATATCTTCAAAACCGTCAACCGGAATGAACTAAAATTTGGCATGTGAATTTACCTAATCCATATCCAAAAGTCCTTATTCAAATTAACATGCACCAGTGACGGAGATACAGGCATTAGTGGCATTATTTTTCCAAATAAAAACAGTTCGAATTTTACCTTCAATTTGCTACAAATCATTATTCTTGTGTTTTTTTCTAGAGTGCATTGTTTTCGTAAGAAGAAAAAACAAATTAGATGACCAAAGTTTTTTTTATTTCAATAAATCTTCAAAAAGAAAATAAATGAAAACGTATTTCCGCAAAATTTGTTGAAACGCATTATCTATTCTTTTTTGTACCTCATCAACAGTATTAGTTTGTTCAGCATACACTGGTTGTTTAAAAGCGTCCCACAAAAAGAAATCCAGGGGGTATAAATCAGGAGACCTTTCGGGCCAATGTACTGGTCCGCTTCTGCCAATCCATCGTTGTCTAAGTTGCTTATTTAACCATACGGTTATGTCTCGACGAACATTCGATAGCGCACCGGGGTGCTGATACCACATTCGTACTCTCATTGCTAACGGAACATCATCTGACACATTTTCTATGTGATTCTCTAGAAAAGCTAAGTATGAGTTTGCATTTAAACACAATACGTGCATAAATAGTTGACCATTGAAAATGCCGCACCAGACATTTCTAGAAAATCTGTGTTGAAACGAGTGGATTCTTACAGAACAGGAATTTTCTAACGACCAAAAAATATGTTCATTATGAGAATTAACGGTTCCACTCAAAATTTTGCTGTTGCAGTTCATCACCGGGTTGCAGACATTGCACATTTTGCCGATGGTAATGATATATGTAGAACTTTCCGATTCAGAAATTCTCCACGCAAGACTTTGGGAACATGGTAACTGGACTGCAATCTGCCTAGTACTTGTACTAGGATCATCCAACGCCAAATTAATCACTTCCAGTTGCTCTTGAACAATGCGCCGGATACCATGGCATCTAGCTCCGGAAAGTTTGTCAATCCAATATTGCCGAAGTCTTAGAAATGAGCGCGTAAATGCCTATGGGGTAGGTTGGCGACTACGTTAATACTCCCGAGAAGCCGGTAAAGCATGTCCATTACAGCACCCATACACAAAAATAATATCGGCGTACTCATCATTGCTAAATTCCATTTCACAACAAAAGGATGCTGGTAGTAACGATAACAACAGTATAACACATAACTTTGACAAACTATTTTATTTTGAAAGTAATTGTATCTTGGCTCTTTAAATTGATGGTAAAAGAGGACTTAGCCGAAAAATATTCGTGACTGAACTAGGTTTTGGACACATACACTTCTGATAAGACTTGAAACTAGTATAATTTGCGGTCCTCATTAATGGAGATACAAAAGTTCTTATCCGATTGTCTGATACCGTTTATTTCTTCGGATTCTTGGAATATTAGTGACATATTAGATAAGAATGTACTGAGAAAAGTCACATGTGCGAATTGCGCCACTGAAAGTCCATCTACGTGAAGCAAGAATATCCAGTCAGCATTTTCATCCGAGGATATAAATATGTGACGCATCTGTTGAGTTGAGCTCAACTTTTGCCATTGTAATTAAAACAATAAATTTGTTTTGTCAACGTATTTCGAAAAAAGTTGTTTTACAAGCACGTTTCTCCGTACTCCCGACATAACCAAGCCGCTATAATTTGCCATGCCTTTGGATGCTGGTATCGCGTCTTTCCTTATGATACGGAATTCTCTTCGTTACCGAGAAAAAAATCCTTCCTATAGTTTCTCGGCAAGTTCTTATTAGTCCAGGATTTTTTCCTCAATATATGGGCGGTAAGAATATCCTCACCGACGTCCTTTTTGTTTCTCTGTCTTCTTAATTTAAATGTGTATTTTAGGTGGTCGTCGGCATAGACGGTACCTTGTACAGAAACCACCCTAACATTTCAAACTGGATGAAACAGAAGATCGCACAGCTGGTGAACCCAGGCATAAGCTTCGAACTGATGTTGTCTGAGGATGGTAGCGGTAGGGGAGCTGCGTTGGTAGCTGCAGTAGCCCACAGGGTAAAGATGGAGAATCAGGGAGTGGCAGCAGCGGCGCCTACGGAAGAAGCACCGGCTGAGGTAGATGCAGCTGAGGAGGGCTGAATAACCAGCGATATATGTAGCCTTAATAAGTGTGATATTTAACGAATTTTTGTATATACATTAAATTATACATATACAAGCGTGTATTATTTATTCATTTTCATACAAGTACAGGTTAAGTGTTCGATAATGAGATTGACCAGAAAAGGCTGAAAAAGTGTTCCTCTTACATCCACACTGGTCTGGGTAACCACGTAAGGGATTTTCCTGAACTATACTTTGATATACAAAATGGATCCTATATCGTGTAAAATCATCTACTGGGGTCCCATTTTGATCTCCCCACCTAATTTTTATTATCTTTCTGTAGTATGGCAAAAAAGGTAAACGAATCGGCTTAAATAAAGTTAAGTTAGTTTTTCTGTGGAGTGTGACCCAATTTGGTTAAAAATCCTTTAAAGAAAGATCTAGTTGATATTATCCAACATAATTAATCGACGGTAAGCTTTCTCCAGATTTTTTCTCATGGTTTAATGTAAGATCTCAAATCCGCAGATGCTCTGCTTTGCCATTTCAAGACCAAGCTTTTGTGTGTTGCATTATTTTCTATGGTATTCTTTGGATGTCGTCGTATTATTCGCGTTTCAGATCCGAAACGATGCACTTGCAACATTTTAGTGGAAAATTGCATAACAATTAATCGAGGTGTTACCACAACTGCAGTTTTTTGAAGGGCTTTTGGCGTTTTCGGGACGCCATTAAAAAACTACAGATAGACCCATACTGGCTTGTCTTTTTGGAGGGCTGGACGTCCTTGTTTGGAGTGCCTACCCCAGGCGGTCCTCGGATATGCTGGCTTTTCGTGGTGCCGGGCTGATGGCTTCGCACAATCTCACCATGTTACGGTAGTTTCAGACTATTTCAGTAATACAGAGTATAGGGATGTGATAATGGAAAGAAAAACAAACGAACTGTCAGCTGGAAGAGATATAAATAAAATACGTCATTGTACTGAAGAAGGTCACCGTTGTGATTGAAACGCTTACAGTAAAGAAGGTTCTGTCAATACATGTGGTTTTACTGGTCAAACAATCACAGAGGATTGTACCAATATACTAATATAAAAAAATTGCGATACTCCCTCCCCGAAACCCCTACAACCCCTCAACCCCCAAGACGTCGAAAAACAGAGTTTGGGCGTTTTTAACTGTTTTCGTTTTTAGCATTCTTCTCCGCCGCAATTGGGAGGGTTTTCTAAAAGCTACAAATCTTCGCCCTTTAAATATCAGTAACCATTTGTGAAAATTCGCCCAAATCAAATACTTTCCAAGTTATAGAAGGACCAATGACTAGCGTACAGACAGACAGAAGAAATAAGTGAAATATTTTTTTGTGATGTACATGTCATATAACATCCAAAAAACATAAAATCTCATAGTCGAAACTTTTCGCGATTATAATACTTTCTTGCTCGTAGGCGGGGAAGTAAAATAGTTTATGTAGCTCGTTTTATTTCTCCCGATATTGTCTTCTCTGTTGCCTTCTTACAAACAGATAGCAACAATGGGGGGAAAGCCGGAAAGCTAGAAGAAGATGATGCTACCTAGACTGCAGGCCATGCTTAAGTGTACACACAAAAGTGCACACTGACTGCACTACATGAGCAATCGTTCAGAAAGTTCGATTATCTCTTATTTCCGACGTAGTAGGCCGTGACACAATCGCAATTAGCGACCTAATGGCTCGTTTCGGGTGCAGTCGGAGGACACCGGGACGTGACTGACCGAAACAAACACGAAAATTCCAAGCCTCCGTTCGGGTGCCCTCCCTTATCCGGGAGGCCCTCTTAAGATGGCATTGTTTCCAGCTTTGAAACCAATCCCTGTCGAACTAAAATATGTGAAGTAAAGTAATGGCTTTGATAGCGTCATTACCGACTACGGATGGATGCAAATAATACATCATAAAATTGCGTACGTTAAAGAAAAAAACCATACCGTTTCAATTGTCTCAGTTTTTTAAGGTACAGAATTTTTAGGATGCTTTGGTAGGCAGGCAAATATCATCATTATGCAAGTTGATAGTGGTTTCGTGTATTCGCCAATGCAATCAAGTCTGAATGATGCGATTGTCATTACATTAAAAAAGATACCTATTTAATAAGAAGCCAATGTATTTCCAAGAACATACCAGAAGATGACATGGCTGAAAACTCATTCATCGATTACATTCTTCCTAGAATCATCAACTTAACCAAACTGGGACACAGTTTGCACCAAAGTTAATATTCTAGATGTAAACTTGAGAGGCAGGTCCAAACAATATCAAAAACCCTATACAGCAGGGTCTGCTTTTAAGAAGATACACATATTCTTTGGATCTACAGGTAATCTTATAATCGTCCGTTTTTTGCTTGCCCAGAAAAGATGGTACATCAAGTATGTACCACCCCTTCTATGCTCACACGGAAAGCAGGCTATAGTTAGCTTCCAGCAGCTCAATTGTAGGCATGAGACTCAAAGGCATGACAAAGTTAGCTATGACGAGAGGAGAGAACAGCACACATTAAAATTTTATTAATTAAATACATTCTCATCACAACGATAGAATATCAATTATATACATTAATAGATCAATTCTAGGCGAATAAATTGTATAATGCACTAAAATGGAATTCCTTTGATGTCCCATAATGACTGTCACGTAATATATGTCAATAATTTTTGTCGTTATGTCTGTCGGCCTGTCTCTTTAGCTTCTTTATCTCAAGACATTTTCCAGCAGCAGCATTATATTAGAACTGGCTTTCGATTTTTTATAAAATTTGGAGTATCGATTAAAAAATAAATAAAGTTTCAGTCAAATCAATCTTAAGCTATATTTTTATATGTTTTGCAACCTTTCGATTATGTTGGATTGTAGTCATGAATATTCTCGGAGAAGACAAAATAAGAAGAACTTCCAAAATTTTTTCATCACCGACTTTTAAGTTTTTGGTCAACAATGTTTTTTACTGCGCTTATATAACATTGAGCATTTGTTCACGTTTTGAGGTATGTATATCAATAATCATACGCAAATGGAAGATCTCAATGTACACAAGTGTAATATCAAAACTTGCTCAACTTCGATCAGTCAATGGACATTTATGATTTTCTGTCGATGCAATGGTGCTTACCTAATGGTCTGGTATACGACAGTCTACACAATCAAAAGGCAGATACGGTCTGCAAATGCAGATTTTCTTTTTTTTTCCATTGAAAATGCACATCTTCTGATCATCGAACACAACTAATGGTTTCAGCATCGCCTATAAATAAGATCCCGCAGTGTCAACTCAAATACCGAATGCGAGTTTTACGAGCCCAGAAACAATGGGACTCGCGAATACCACCTCCTCCCCCCAAGTCCCTCTACGTTTCCCCAATACCCCTTTGACCCCCGTCGTGCAGTCCATCAAAGGTGCTCAAATCTATAAGAGCTCGAACATGCGTAGCATCATGACTAATACTTCGTTAATTCAGAATTCGAGAAGCAACTCAAAAGTATTCACAAGCCTGAAGTATTGGGATTGCAAATTAAGATAGCAGCGCCGCCGCGGCAGACACCTAAACTAGATTCTTGTACTTTGACACATTAACGTTACCTTTTAGCTTTGCTTTGAAAAGGTGTTTGGAAGTATTTTATGCGGAATTCTACTCTTCGTACTTTTATTTGTATAAAGTCATTAATCTTATTTATTGTGTCGTAAAGGCTTTGTGTTCGTTTTGATCAACAACTTTGTTGTCGATTTTGGTAGATGCAAACTTTGTGAAATATCGTTTATCATGCACATAGTTTAGTCTTGTGTGAATTTTAAAGGATTTTTAGGTGAAAAATGGCTCAAATAAGTGACAGTCTAGAAGAATATGTTGCATATATAGGAGACAATACAAATTCACACTGTAATGTACAGCACAAATATCATTAAGAAGACCTTTATCCACCATAATAGCATCCCGATTGAGTAATAACTTAGATAAGATAACTTTCCTCAAAAATCATTTTGTCAGAACCACGGGCACCAGTTTTACCATTAAAAGTAACCAAACCAGCAGGAGTAGCTGGAGTGTGGAAATGTCAATTACCAATGTTAAATTTTTTTTGACATGATGCGAACCACACACACAGTGTATGGTACTCGTATGTTGCAAGTATATCATCCCGCACCCAGCGAATATGTATGAAGCCGCTAAGAAGCTGATAGAGTCGAAATCACGAAAGACGACGATTCGTCATTATTTTAGTCTGTAGTAAAGACTAACGACAGCGGTTTGTGAATATTTTTAAGTTTCAGATATGTTAGAGACAAACAGAATTTTATTGCATAAACAAACTGTATTGCTAAGTTGCATGTATCCAACAAAGATAGACGATGTTTTCTTGTTGCATGGTCGATCATATTTGACAGATGAATAGGTAAGTTATGTTAAAGCAGGTTAGGTTGTTTTCGAATAATACTTTGGTATTTGGTGTTCCTGTCTTAAGGTATTCTATACATAACTGTTTTTTCAAAACAAAAACTCCCCACTAAAATTATTATTGAGGTATCACTCAAAACCATGAAACAAAATGAAAATAAAAATATTCAGTGAAATAACCTAACTTCGCAAAATCATAATATAAATTTGTTGTCATTGTGTTTCTGACATCGTGATTTTATCATAGACGTACGTCCATTGATTACTTCAGTACAATTTATGGCATGACGTAATAGTCATCTTTCGTGATTTTGACTATATGCAATTTACTTTCTTCTGGGATACTTGTGTCATACTAACAGAATCAATCAAGAATAACTGCGGAATTATATGTGTTGAGGCTCTAGATAAAAAGAGCGAGAATGAGCGACCCGCGGCGTGCCGTTCGACGATTGAATAATTCAATGTAAATTATTTTTTCAATACAATAAATCTTTTGTCATTGACTCGGCTTAGAGCGTAGAACAATAATTAATTGTTCGGAGTTAATGATGGACGATGACTGGCCGGTTTCGAGAACGTTTCAGAGGGTCACGAATTTGTTAATTACCGCTGATTAGGATCTGGTGCTAGCAAAAGAACAACCAGAGAAGAGTGGGTTGTTAGTTATGGATGGTATTTGTG